TTTAAATCTACAGCTAACGTGAGTCACTAACCTCACAAACCCCAAGATCTTTATCTTTCTTTGCACGTACAAAAACTTACATGACAGGTAACCAAGGAGAGAGAACTAAAGTAACTGGTGACTTCCCTAGCAACCTCATGAACGCTATCAAAGAGAGCTGTGAGAAATAAGGCGAGGACGTGACACCTACTGCCTCCCCCAGGCGCGAGAGATCGCCTCCCCCCATTGTAGCATAACAAACCAAATGGAAATAGGGCCTCCACGTCCACAGAAGAAAGGACACCACCAGCCATGAAAAAGCTCCTCGAAAGATGTCTAAATGATACGCTAGTGAGGGTGCTTAACAAGCCCACTCCATGCATGACTACGAAGATTGCAAGAAACTACACAGTACAACGAGCAGACGAACATGGTGACCGACCAGAAGCTCCAACACTAGGTATAACTCACAATGTTACGAACAATGCAAGTAATAACGCCCTCGCCGCTGTTCTAAGGAGGATGGAAGAAATGGAGAATGAAAACAAAACACTCAAGGATCGAACGAAACAATACCAAGAGCGAGTCAACAAGATACTGGCGCTCCTAAGCTATTGAAAAAGAGGGACGCTAGTAGGTTCGTAGAGCAGCCGTACATCAAAGAAGCAACACCGCATGCCATACCAAAGACCTTCAAAATGCCGCCCTACCTCAGGATATACTAAGGAATGACTCATCCCGAAGATCATGTGACTTATTATGTCACCGTCGTGAAAAGCAACGACCTCACTAAGGAAAAAGTGTCCTCTATTTTCCTAAAGAAGTTTGGCGAAATCCTTAACGGATGAGCATTAATACGGTACTCACAGCTACCATCCCACTCCATAGAAACTTCCGAGGAAATGGCCTATAAGTTCGTAACAGCGCATGCCGGAGCCAAGAAGGTCGAAACAAGACTAAACGACAAATTTTCCATCAAGCAGTCCTTGGGAGAGGGACTGAGGGACTTTCTCGCCCGATTCAATAGGGTAAGGATGATCCTACTGAACGTGTTCGAGGGGATGGTGGTCGCGGCTTTTCAGAACGGGTTGAGTAGAGATGGTTCAAGAGCAAATAGAAAACTGCTGAGTCGATTGATGAAATATCCTCCAACCACGTTAGAAAAGATCCATAATGCTTACTATATCGATGTCCGAGCTGATGAGGACGACCTCAACAGACCAACCCATTGGCTCATTTTGGTACAAGCCGAGTCCAGAAAAGAACAGAGAGACAACATCAGGAGAGATCACCCTGTCTCACGAACCAACAGGGAACAATACTAGCCATACATCCACCACCTTCCCTCTGCTAAGAAGAAGGCCCATCCAGGCCGAAGACAGGGACTCACCGGAACGAAAGAGATATGCCCCCTTATTATCTGCTCACAATTTTGTGTATCACCTACATAAATAGTTTATGCTCTAGAGAAACTCGCAACAAAGGTTAAGTGGCTGCCAAAGATAAGGTCCGATACGAGCACCAGAAAATCCGACGCTACTGTGAGCACGTGATTTTTGCCCTATATGAATTATCTCCCATAAAATATCATAAAATAATTTTTCCCAAATTTTACAATCTTATAGGAATTTGCGTAGAATTTTGTTAATTATTTGCTTTATTGTGCATATTTAATTTCCATTAAAAATAAAAAAAATACCAAAAATACCATGCATTGCATTTACATTTTATTCACATTTTAGGATTAATCAATTAGTTAGTTGCGTTATTAAAAAATGAAAATCACAAAAATGACTCATTTTTACATTCTTAGCTTTAAAATTTTGGATTTTTAATTTTTCTCTTTAAATTTATGATCAACTAATTTTTATAAACTTTATAGTTAGATAATTAGCTTAATTTTACAATTTGAATTAATTTAGGAATTTAATTAGGTTTTTAGTTAATTAAAGAAAGAAAAAGAACAACAAAAAGAAAAAAAGATTGAAAAGGCTGGTTTTAAATTCGATTGGGCCAAACACTTTAAAAGCCCCAATGTTTTCTCCCTACCCAGCCCAAGTAGGGTCGACCCGACCCGACCCAACACCCAACCCTTATTCCTATCTATACTATATTAAAAGCACAAAGGCCCATAACGAAATGTCGTTCGTCTTTTTTACCCTTTTTAAATACAATTTATGTTGGATAAATTCGTAATTATAATACAAATAGGTATTTCGAGAAAACCAAAATTAAATTGCCCAACAATTTATGTCACTTTAGGTATCGGCATTATATTTTTCCGTAATTAGTGTCATTTTAGATTAGGATTCCTTAACCAGAATTACCGAGCAATTAATGTTAGTCTGGATTTAGTTTCTTTTACATAATTAAAGCCTCTTTTTGGTCTTCTAGAATTCTAAACCAAAAGTAAATAAGGAACAACAATTAATGACGCTAGGTTTAGTATTCTTTTTGTACTTATAATAATTTTCGTAGGTTACAAAGTTAATTTTTTGTTGTTTAGAATTTTAAACCAAAAGGCAGCATTTGTTTTTGCTTTAGGCTTGGTATTCTTTTACCAAAATCTAACAAGAAGCACCAATTAATGTTAGTTTACGTTTAGTCTTCTTTTACTAAAATTGCCGAAGAATACACACAAAAAAAAAGGTTTGGTTTTCTACAATTTTAAAATCATAACCGTTTAGAATAAGGAGCTAAACACTTCTATAAAAGGAGCCAGTATTTCATATTTTATATCATAAAGTCTTTTTGGGTTAAACCTACATGAATAGTCAAGTTTTTATTTTTCTTTATACCTGATTTTTAAGTTTTTTCCTCTTTTCTTAATGTTTTTTTTTTTTTTAACTGAATAAGCGGTACTGATATCTATTTGATCTGAAATAGTATTTGCTAATGTACGTCTTTATGTTGTGTGTTGCATAAATTTTTTTGGTTAAACCTACATGAGTACTCATGTTTTATTTTTCTTAGATCGGAAGANTTTTTTGTATTTGAATGAGCGGTACGCATATCTATTTGATCTGAAATAGTATTTGTTAAATAATTAAATATATAAAAATATAAAAAATTATCATTTGTTGAAATAATTAAAAAATAATGACAATTCGTTAAGAACAGATTTTGTTTATAAGTTAGAATATGTTTTTTTATTAAAATTAGGAAACAAAGGATGACATTTTTTTTTCATTGGTCAACAAAGAAAATTGCATCTTGTTGAGCCTTAAGTTTTCTTTTTCTCATAAAAGGAAATATTTTGTTTCGGTTCTTCATGCTTATAGAATGCGTGAACCCTATATATTATGACTTATTGCATAGAAGTTCAAACACAGAAGGACTTACTATGAAAATTTTTAGTTGACTTTAAATTTCTAATTTTTAGAGAAATAATTTAATAATTATTTTATCTAATGTGAAAGCTATTTTAAAGGGTAAAAATAAATAGATTTCATTGGAAAAAGTTATAATTTAACTATTTGTTAATATTTAGAGATTTAAAATCAACTAAAAGTTTAATTATGAAATTTTCCTTAATTATTTGAATAATGTTGAAAGTCCTAATATTTAGGACTTTAAAATCGATTATATTTTAATTTATATAATCTTTTTCTTCTTTGATTTGTGTTCTTTATTTCAAACCACTTTTTCGTATTAATAATTCTTATTTGTGTGGTAGACAATTCAAGACTCCTCTTGGTGATGACAATGCGCACACAAATATGTTGGATACGAAGATAGATACGTTAGATACGAAGTCAAATACTCTATAACCTACGGGTAAATAAAATTAGATAATATATACTTTAATAATCTTTTCGAAAATATATATTACTCCCTCGAGTATAAAATAAATTTGGAAAGAGTTACTTTAGCAAATAAAACCAAATGTGACAACTTTCTTAACATTAGTGTAATATATGTTACATTCTTTCATAATAAACTTTATTTTAGACGTATATTAACTCATCTGTGATTTTAAATCACATTTTGTAATCTTTTGTAGCGTGAACACTATTTTAGAGATAGAGAATTTTTTTTCGTAAACTAGGGAATCACTCCACCTAGAAGCATGCAGGGGGTCTGAACCTACGACCTCCCATTTGGGAATTTCCTGCTCAATCAACTTAGCCAACCACGGGGGTATGCTTTGATTTTCATTTTTTCTTTTCTATATACGTGATTTAATAAATTTCTCTGGATATGCATTTAGGTAGGTTAATTATATAATTAAGAATAGAAGATGAAAGAATATCTTCAATTTTAAGCCATTAAAATTTATTAAAATTTGAAAATTTAAGGAGCCTAGCATGTGAAGAAAAGAAAAAGAAATAATATTCATTAAACATGTCTTGAAATAAAACTTTTGTGATGGATCAAAACTTCTAAGTAATATGATGGATTATTAAAGAACATTACGTGTCAATTTGTTAGACTGACTTGAATTGTAAGAAAAGTAATCACTAAGATCGAAGGATGGAAAAAATAAATACAAAATTAAATAAATAAAATTTCATAGCTAATCATAGGCGGGCAATAAAATTGATGGTCTAAATACAATCTATAATAAGAGACCTTAAATTTTTCATGAAATTCATGTACTAACAAGAAAAAATCCATGTACTAACGAGAAAAAATATTTTACCAAGGTTAATCATACATACTATATGATATATATAACACTTAATATTTAGAATAGTATTTTTTACACCAAGAACGCTGTCTATAAAGAGATATTAGATCAGATACAAAAATATAACATATCATAATTATCTACAAACAATAAAATATATGTTAATATAAAATTATATAATTAACCTACCTAAATTCTTAATATTTGCAAGTTAAGAAGATATCTAATAACTCTGCGTTCAACTATTTTGTCAATAACATTAATTATTTTAATTAAATGAATGTTGCACTATCTCGACGTCAATTGCTATTACACGTAATATTTTTACTCTAAATTTTATATACTTATTTATTGATAGACTCAAAAACGTACACTAAATCTAGTAATCCAAAAGACCTAAACCTAGAGGGATAAAAGGGACAAATACAGGAGGAGGAGGAGCGCAGCTTTTCCATAGACCCCCCCTTCACGATCTCATCTTCATACCCCCACCCAAAGACCCCCTTTTCCATCGATTTCTGATCCTCTAGACAAAAATGAAGTGCAGCAAAACTTGAGATTCCTCTTAAAAACTGAGGACGAAATAAAGAAGCAAGTGACGGAATCCTCTTGCAAACGAACAACAGAAGCTTCGGACGGAAATTAGTTCATTTTTCTTTCTCTGAGTTCCGATTCTGATCTGAAACATGGAGTTTGGTTGAGGTCACGTTTGGATTTCAAGGTATCCGGTGCCGATTCGAGGTTCCAGCGAGGTCGCTTTTAGTAGTTTTCCGGTCGTTGTTCAACTGTTCTGGCCGTCATCTCGATCCTGTGCTTGATTCGTTAATGCAAAGCTGTTGTTTCTCGGCCTTTATTCGGTATGCCTTACATTTCAATTTATACAATGTTAGGTTTCACCTCATTCTAAATGGTGTCGTTATTGAAATGCATCAGTGATGTTGGAAGCTCTTTAGTTGAAATATCCTCTTTCTCTGTTTCGATTATGCGGATATTGTGACATTATTCATTCTTTTGCTTCACTGAATTGTCTTTGCTTTCTGTTTCGACAACTCGTTCTCCTAGCTAAGAATGATGTTTCGGTTGATTATTTAAATATCGAACCTTGTCGAATCCGTTCACCACCATTGCGGTAAGGTTTCAGTTATTCAATATTATTACTTGTTGGTTTGGTACAACGTTTAATGATGCATCAGTTGGCTTAGAAGGCGGTAATGTTGTCGAAAGTGTTTCCTATTAATTTATTGGACTAGCCATTGGTCTTGAAAATTGATTTAAGCCGTAGGTTAATTTTGGGGTAAGATGAAGTTGGGTTTGAGACTTGGTTGATACTGAGACGGATTGGGATGTAAGGTAACATTCTGCTTCTCTTATGTTATTTCTCTTTTAGTTACTCGGGTTGCTAGGCAAACTTTTCGGCTTGTAAGTAATCATCGTGACCATGGGTACGGTTCCGTGACGTAGTTGTGACACTTAATTTCGAATTAGTGTTAAATATGACCATTTGTAGTTAAATGATTTTCCCTTTAATAATTTGAGGTGCGCCATGCCAAATAAAAATGACAACTGCATGGTCCTCATTTAATTAAGTTTGATTCAATCCTTAGAATTCGAGGTGTGCCATTTAGCGAATTTTTATGGCCATCGCAAAGTTGCTAATGCGTAGTTGCTTTAGGCACGTCGTTTTAATAATTTACATTCCTAAATTCGGGGTCACATTTATGTGACCCAAATCCAAATCCCAACAATGTTAGATAAACGGGTGCATTTATGTGACGCCGCTCAAGACATGTTTTAAATAACATTGAAATCTTCCTAAAAAAGATATAATTGAATAAAAGCGGTTATAAAGTTAAAATGCACATAGGCTAAAACATGTATTAAAATCAAATAATAGGCCAATTATAACAGTTGAGCGACCGTGCTAGAACCACGGAACTCGGGAATGCCTAACACCTTCTCCCGGGTTAACATAATTCCTTACCCGGATTTCTGGTTCGCGGACTGTAATACAGAGTCAACCCTTTCCTCGATTCGGGATTTGAACCGGTGACTTGGGACACCATAAATCTCCCAAGTGGTGACTCTGAATATTTTAATAAAAATCCCGTTTCGGTTGTCACTTCAAGTTGGAAATAACTCCCTTTATTATACCTCTTTCCGGGTTGTAGTGAAAAGTAGGTGTGACAGCTACGAGTTCCACCAGGAACGCGAACACAAAACTGAAGATTGTATCGCCCTCAAGCAAGAAGTTGTAAACATGTTGCGGCAGGGACACCTCAAAGAGCTGCTGAGCAACAAGGGGAGGAATAACTTCGCCAAAGGACGTGAACTCCAACGTTCGCCAAAGCTGCCATCACCAACTCGTGCTATCATCATGATCATTGGCAATAGCGATGATGCCTCCGTCAACGACATTAAATTCACCTCCACTCATAAACTCAAACGATCTATCACCCACAAACAGTATGACAAACTTGAAAAAGTATCATTTTCGACGAGTTATACGTCGACGGATTGACTTTCCCTCATAATGATGCTCTCGTCATTACTTTGCCCATTTTAGATACTAATAACGTATCATGGTTGATGATGGAAGTAAAGCGTGCATTATCCATCCCTGAGTTCTCACCCAGATGAGACTCGGGGACAAGATAGTGTCGCGTTGCATCATGCTAACCGGTTCTAATAATGCAATTGAGCGGACGTCGTGAGAAATTATGCTCCCCGTCTTGGCCGGAGGCGTAACATTGGGGACGACTTTCCACATCATGGACCTAGCCACCACGTACAACGCAATAGTAGAATGACCGTGGATACATCCCTTGAGAGCCATCCCCTCCAGCTTATACCAAGTAATCAAATTCCCAGCACCTTGGGGGATATTCAGCATAAGAGGAGAACAACGCACGACCCGGGAAAGCTACCGTATCACCTTAGATGAAACAACAACCCAACAGAAAAATATAAGGAAAAGGAGGCATAGCAATCAATAAGGTCATCATAGATCCCGAAATGGTCAAAGCTGCGGACTCGACCGTAGAGGACCTCGACCCCATTCCATTAAACCCAAGCGATTGCAGAAAAAAGGCTTACATTACCTGCAAACTCTGAGAACCAGGTAAATTTAGTCAATTCTTAATAACTAACGCAGACTTGTTTTCCTTTAGCACTACTAGAAATCAGTTGATTTCCGTCCGCTGTTTCCGACCGAAATCGGTCGGAAATTGATAATTTCCGACCAAATTCCGACCGATTTTAATTGGACGGAAAACAATGGTCGCAAACGTGTACCGACCGCAATTGGTTGGAAATTTCCGACTGAAATTGGTCGGAAACTTCAACGCGTTGACTCCCTGTCAAACTTTTATTTCCGACCGAAATCGGTCGGAAACTATTAAATTTTTACTTTTTTTGATTTTCAATTTCCGGCCGAATTTGGATCTATTCGGCCCGAATGCTGCTTCGGCCTAGTTGACAGTCCCTCCGCCGTGAACTCGCTTGAGTTCTCGTTAGCCTCCATCTTTTTCCTCCATGTCGAATTCCTGTAAGTTTCTAAAATTGTCAACTCCGACTTTTGTCTATCTCTTTGAACTTTTACCAGTTAATATGCATTACTATTTTCCTTTTCCCCCTTTCTCTTGTGACTTGATTTTTCAAAGAGTTGATTTAACTGGTAACTGAGGTGGATTTATAGTTGAGTTTGTATTGTATGAAACCCGTTTGATAAAATGCCTATTAGATCTTGTGGGGTTGATTCAATATTAAACTCAAAATTTTAGCTTGAAAATGTGTGTACTACTATTAGTTAGTCATGTGATTTTATTTTTGTCAAACTTGCACTTGAGAAATATATTGTTGTTCGCATTTGCATATACAGAAATTTGCAGCGTCCAAAAGGTGTCGCTCTTACAATTTTTGAGGGTGTTGGGTACTTTGGAAGAGAACAAATGTTAAGAAGGGATAAGGCAACAACAACAACAAACCCAGTTTATTCCCACATAAATAGTGTCCGGAAGAGGGCAGCCCGGTGCACTAAGCTCCTGCTATGCGCTGGTCCGAAGAAGGGCCGGACCACAAGAGTCCTTACCCAGCTCGAACCCGTGAGCTCCTGGTCACATGGCAACAACTTTACCACTTACGCCAAGAGGGACTAAGAAGGAATTTTAATTTACTTTATTTCCCATAAAATAGCAGCTGAATAGAAAATTTCTTCTTTACTTTTGAGAACTGAATTCCACTAAGCATGGCTGGTCCTAATTCCAGATAAATGAGGGTTGCGCATAAAAGTAGTTTTATAGTGCTGCAATTTGAAATGTTTCTCTTGGTTGCCCTTCATCCTATAAGTTAGATTAGTTAGTGAAGTGCTAATAAAAAGAAAGTGAAATCATAACTTTTGCCTATATAGAAATCTTTCACCAATTTTTCAAGTTCGAAACCCACTGGGTGCAAACAATTTCTGAGGGCCATCGGACTGGGTAAAAGCCTGAATTAACCGTGGTGCAATTGCAGGAAACTCCTTGCCGAGGGCCTGTGCACCCCCGGGATTAGTCGGGGCTCTTAGAGACTCGGACACCCGGTGCAAATAAAAAAAAAGAAATCTTTCACCAATTGTTAGGTTCGACTCTGAATTTAAATTATTCTTACGTGTAAGCTAACTCTAGCTTTTGGTAAACATGTTTAGATTGCAGAACATGTGCTTGGTGAAGGGTCCTTCCAAACAAACATATGTAATTACCTTAAAACTCATTGATGAAGTGCTATTTTTTTGTTACTTCAGTTGGTTCATATCTTTCTATGGAGACCAGCGAAGGCCAAAGAAATAGTTGGTCCTATTAACAAGGGCATTGATACTAGATTGTGTGGTTCATTATCTATTTATCTCACCTTACTAGTGTGAACTTTATTGTACTTTTTTCTTCATAGATGAACTGATATAGTCTAGCTGGAATTGTTGATTGAGAGACATAAGCTGAAGAAATGGTAGGCTGGCAACGACATCTTCAGCGCATGCTCCATCAAGCTGGGAAGAGATATCACCAAAGTCGAACTATTCCTTTCAATTCACATTATCACTCAAAGTCGTCTCTAGTGCTTGGTAATGGTTCTTTCTCTGTTGAAGCTTGATAAATTGATTCTTCTGATGTCTTGTGATGGCTGTGGATTGTTAATGCAACCTGTCAATAGAAGCACCTCTAGTTAGGGTTCAGGGCTGTGCTCACTTTCTTCCTTCAGTTGCTTTTCGTTTTTGATTTCTCAAGTCATATATCGTTTTTTATTTTCTAGGTGAGGCACCTTACTTGCCAAGATTGCAGAATACGGTTTCATCTGGCATCTCAAGGCCATTATACCAGTATCTACAGCATTTGGTAATGTTACAATATAATTTAGTTCATATATATGTGGCTATGTATAGTGAATTCAGGTGGCAATTAAGTTGTGAATCTATATCCCACCCTTCTTTGTTTTTATTTAATTAAGTTTTGTCGTTTTGATTTCTCGTACTCAAAACAGCTTATCATATTGCATACTATCTATGTTATGAGACATTCTATTCGTAGTGTTGCAGATGCTTGTCTAAGCACTTAGGCAATTGGTGATCCTGTCTATTTTAAATATAGCACCTTGGCAGATTTTTTCTATTTATATATCATGTTTTAGATCTATATAAACTCGTTCTATAATCCTTTATGGCCGTGCAATCAACTTATTTCCCAATCGAAATATTGATAAAACCATCTGTACATAAATTTCCTGTAATATACACAACAATAGTTTTATAACTCTACTAGAAATTATATTCACCATTTTGTCATTTTTAAAAAAGCCATCGCCAAGAGTGGGTAAGTCAGTTTGACATCTGTCTTTACACTTCAGATATACTAGTGTCGATGGCTAAAGTTTTTGACTTTTTGTTATCTTGAATAACAATATAGGCATGCTTCTTTGTATGCTTTATTTTAACATTTATCCTATGAAAGAAATTCAAATTAGTTTAAACAGTCTCATAGTTTAATTTTTTGCTTTCTTTTCCTTCCTTCTTAACTTTTTTGACAGGGGCTCTCTAGTACAAGGACCTTACTTGCAGACGCATCTGATGCTACACCAATTTCTTCCCCATTGATACCGCTTCTAACATCAAATACTGGAAATAAAGAAGCTGAGAAAGCAACTTCTAAACCTTCAACAGTTCAAGCAATTTTGAAGGGGATAAAACAGGTATGAAATGCCACAGCCTTTCTAATATACCGTACACCAGAGCAGAATTTGCATGATGAGTAACAATTTGGTGAGTAGATGTGGTTACTTACAGCCTTGTCATTCGTATTAACTAATCTCCTGGAAATTTTCCTTTTTGTTTTCTCCGTAGAATTGATGTCCCAGCTTAATGGTTTATTAAATGATTATTTCAATATAAATGGAAGTTACTCCCCGCCTCTATGTTTTAGACTGATAATTGATAAAGTCTATTAGAATATTGCCAAGATTTTATGTGAATTAGGAGGCAAAGCCTGCTGATTTAGCAATATGACAGTGAGTTCTACTTTATATCCTGCAATTTATGAGCACAAAGAAAAATTTAGAATTTTGGATTCTCTATTCAGTTGTTCGACTGATTCTTGATTCAATATTTTTGGTATTGGGAGGACAGTGTGATGAAAAATGCAAATTTGAGATAATGTACAGGAATCAGGGAGAAATATTGAAGAAAAGGGACTGTACGAATGCTTATCTCTTTCATTACATACTGTTTGGTAAGACTGTAAGCAGACTTTTGTCCCATAGAATGCATGTGAAAATTGGGGCCTGTGCAAGATGTTGTTCTCATGCAACTATAACTTAGTGAAAGAATAATTGCTCCAACAAAGAACAGATATTGTTGGGACCTGTTTGTTTTCTAAATATATGTTTTATTCTCCTTTCTTGTTTTATTTTCTTGACAAGTTTTGTTCTCTTTCTTTTAGTCCTACGTTCTATCAGAAATCTCTTTCCTGTCAACTGAAAGAGTGAGGAATCTTACCATGCTATCCTTTCATTTCTATGGCACTTGTCATTTTCAGAGCCCAAAGAAGATTAATTTGGTTGCTGCATTAGTTCGTGGGATGCGTGTTGAAGATGCATTGTTGCAGTTGCAAGTGACTGTAAAACGAGCTTCCAAAACTGTCTATCAGGTAAGGCTTCAAGCAGCTTGCAGAAGATCAGGGGAAAGGAAATTATTTTCTTCATGAATCATTCAACTGTTGTTTACAAGTAGGCTGTATTTTATATATTTGACTCGGCCTTTCTGTTGCCTTCTTTACAAAGAGCATTCTCTAATATGTCTGCCACACCTATACTGTATTGAATAATTCTATGTTGCAAAGTAACCTCCATTGTCGTGTTGACAATCATTCACTTCTACTCATCCAAAAAAAAAAAAACACAATCACTTACTTCCAAACACCACATGAGACCAACCTTAAAGTTGTAGGACAATTGCCGAACATGGCTCCTGAAGTCAAAGATTATTTACAGTTCAGGTGTGATGTAATAGGAACCTTTTATTTTTGTAGGTTATACATTCAGCTCGGGCAAATGCAACCCACAATTATGGATTTGATCCAGATCGTCTTCTTGTTGGTAAAAAAGGGAAACTAACAATCTGTGCTCTCCTCTTACTTCTAATCTCAGACTGATTCATTCTTTTCATATTTGGTGCAGCTGAGGCTTTTGTTGGGAAAGGACTTTTCAAAAAAAGGGTGTCCTACCATGCTAAAGGAAAGTGTGGAATAAAAGTGAGGCCAGAATGTAGACTGACCGTTGTAGTTAGGGAGATAACTCCTGAGGAGGAGGTCGAGATAGCTAAGTTGAGAGTACACAACTTCAAGAAGCTCACCAAACGCGAAAGGCGTCTAGTTCCTCATAAGCTCATTGAGACTACTCCAATATGGGACCGCAAAGGCAGAGCTAAGAGCAATAGACCAGGTGCTGCTGCTGCTTGAGCACAGTTACTGTGGTAGTTTGGTTTCACTAGAAAGCTTTTTAGTTCCGTAAAAAACAGTTTGGGATGAAATGTGTGCCTCTTGTGGGATTTCTTTTTCAAATGTTCTTTCTCATACATCCCTGCTCATAGCAGCTTAGGTCGAGATCTTCAGCTTCATTTGTAGGCACCTTCCTCCTTTTCTTTAGCATCTTCAAGTGCCTCAAACTTCACGTACTTTTATGGCCTTTAAAGTATTCTGATGACTGATTGAATGTGTATTCATTATGGACAAATATTTCCATTTTGGTCAGTGTAATAAGTCAGATTTTGCATGTTGTGCATTTTTCTTTTTCTGTAACCTTAAGGAGTCATATGGTGTGTGTGATAAGGGATAATAATCCTGGTTAGATGCGGGATTATTTTATCTTGCGTTTGGTTGAATTTTTGAATGCGGGATTTGCAATCCTGAGAGTGGGATAATAATTCCGGAATTAATTAATCCTGGGATAAACACTAAAATGACAAAGATGCCCTTCTCCAAGGCTCTTCCTCCAAGTCTTTAAACAATCGAATGTTAAAATTAAAAATAAAAGGCTCTTCCTTTTCATTATTCCTTGAGTCAATAACCTCTCTATAGGTAGGGGTAAGGTCTGCGTATGTATTATCTTTTTCAGATTTCACTTGTGAGATTATACTAGGTTTATTAATTCCCCGTATTATAGTCCTATCATTATAATCCGTGGACATTGATTGTAATGAGCCTTGATGGTACATGCCTCTCAGTTCCACTCTCATGCCTTTGTATGTTGCATGAGGCTCCTAAGCCACAAAGTCCAATAGTACAAGATTACGACTTTTCATCCACAATCTCCACCCTATATCATATCACAGTCACCCAGAGTAACCAACCTTCATGGATCCTCAAATTCTATTCCTTGTATCCTCCATCTAAATTGGGGACAAGAGTGGTAGACTCACAAGATAATTTTCATCAGCTATAGTCACCCTCGTAAGCACAGCCTCCTTGATATGTTGCCTTTTCAATAGCTTGGCTAAAATTAAAGGGATCAAACATCTTGATAGTATGCTTAATCTCCTCTTTCAATCCTTCAATAAAAATCCGAAGAAGAAATCCTCAGGAATAGTAGGATTTCTTATCAGGATCTAAGCTTCAAATTTCTCCAAGTATTCAGCAACTGTTCCCTTCTGCTCAATGTCTTAAATTGCCCCAATAAATTCAAATGACTATTATCAGACTCTATCCTTTACTTAAATAATAACAGGAGAAGAACCAAGATTCAGCCTTACCATTGAGATGAAGGACAAGCATCTCCAACTCAGTCACATCATTGAAATAGAAATATCACTCACATTTTCTCATGCAAGTGCGCGAAGCACCTTTCCACCCTATGATTGTGATTACTCGACTGAGTTTTTCCCAAGGAGTTGTTTACGTTGCTCCCCCATCCTGGTTCTATTACCAGAACCTTCCGCTAATGGATTCTCAGCTGGAGCACTTCCCAAAATTTCATCCTGGTTCAAGAGGAGTTTATCCACAAGGAGATCCAACTTTTTATTCATATCTTCCGTTTTAGCATTATTAGATGTAATATAACCTTGTAATTGACTATCAAGCTTCTTGACCAAATCTTCAGTAGATTTTGCTCTACCTTCATTGATTGTCACGGAGGCTCTAGATACCACTTGTAATATACTCAAAATACAAAAGTAATTGAGGTAAAGGGAATTTTATTAGATTCAATATTCAGTACAATGACAAAATCGAGCTACAAGCTTAAACTAAAATAGTAACAATGGAGTCTCTACTGAATTTCCTGAAAGAAAAGAATGAAGGGTGAGGTTAGAAGAGAATTAGGAGAGACGAAGAATGGAAGAGAGATAAAAATCAATTAGGAAGCAATTGAGAATTATCGGTAGGATAACTGCCTCTGCACCCTTCAGTTGGGTATTAATTCTGTTAGCTTTTCCTTTTAATCACTACCGTATTGGTAGAAAAAAAGACATGATAAGTGGACCATCAACGAGGTGATAAGTGGTACTTTGTTGAGCCAATAAAAAACAAATAAAAAGACACGAATGAAATATCCACAATGTTAGAAGAAATATCGGCCCTGACAACTGGAAAAGAAGAAATAGGTACGAGATGAATGAAGACCACAAAAGGGGAAGATTCATGAATCTGTTATAAATAAGGAAAGGAAATCGCCTCGATATTGATTTTGATTACGGAAAATTCTCAGTTGTTATTATAACCGATACAATTAAATATGGTAAAGAGCAATCAAGATAATAAATGCCATTAACGAGCTAGATTTAAGTAGGGAAACAATTATATTTAGGAGTCCTTATATAAGGACTCGTTCCTCATTTGTAAAGGCATCTGAATATTTTTAAATATATGCAATTAGACTTTTAATCTATTCGATTCAAGTGTTCAAATCGCATTTCTCAGAAATATTAGCAATCAATATTAAGCATTCTTTCTTTACTTATTATTTTCATTATTTTTTATTTTTGAGACCCAGAAAGTAAAGTAATCTTGGTTATCAGTAACCCGATTTTTTCTAATATTAGCTTTGACCGTAAAATTTATTTTTGGGTTAAACACCGTCAAATTATATTCTTTAATGAAGAATATATGTCAGCCGTTCACTCTATTAAACTTGAGATCTATCCACGTGAACCTTTATCCTTTAATTTGGTACTGCCATGTGTCCTCTTATTCAGCTACACTAATATGTGATGCTAATCTCTATATCTGAACCTTATTTTTCCCATTTATTTCTATACTGCGCCTCTCTTCTCCATCTCCGACCACCTAAATCATAACAATAAGTAGTTTGTAATGGAAACTTAGGGTCCACCAAACTGTATAGAGAACTAGAACTTGGTTCTTTATCAGTTCTCACAGAACACATGCAATCAGAAATAAATAAAAGATGTAGCAGAGTTTTACGTGAAAAACTCCCAGTTCGCGGGATTAAAAATTACGACCTACACTCGTAGGATTTCAACTTCACTACTGAGCAAACTTCAGATTACAAATTATTGTAACATAATAATTAAACTCTTAATCCCTCACCCACTTGTAGTAACTCTATTACAAGCCCCTTTGCAATAACTCTATTCCAAAGCTCACAACTCGACTAATTCTTTCTACACAATGCTTCTAGCTAAGCTAAGTAGGAATTACAAGTAGATCACTATAACAAAGGTACAACACAACTAAGGACATATGGTAACACAATGTTGGAAACTGGTCCTTATTTTGTTGTTGTTCATTTTTTAAGGCTTGAAGTCATTTGCCAGATAGCAACACACTTGCTAGAGAAGCTTGATAATTTTTCATATGTTCAAGTGTGTTTTTCCCTTGCTCCATGTTGATAATATACAAGTGATGTCATTTGGATGATGCAAACAATTATCCGGTATAAGGCATTCCCCTTAAAGTGACTGCTGCACTGTTTGCCCTATTGCGTGTGTGCAGAGGAACAATTACAGCGACTTTACAGCTGTGGGGAATTGACTGGTACAGTCAGCAAGGGAACTGATGTCCATCTGTTTCCTCTTTCTGTCGTCTCTTTGACTCTAGTTATTGGAACTTGTGCCCGACTTGAGACTTGTTGTTCTTGAGCACTTTGAGGATGTGTAACAAGTTCTTAATCTGGTTCTTATCATAAAGTTTGTTAGATCATCAAAATATATCAAGGCACATAACTTATCAATTTCTCCTTTTTTGATGATGACAAACTTATAATTGAAATTCCCCCTGAGAACTTAAGGTTCCCCCTAAGAACCAAATCACCATACAATATTCCTGTATTCCCCCTGAGAACCTGTTCCCCCTCTCAATTAATTTTTCCCCTTTTGGCATCATAAAAAGATTATTCACAAGTAATAAGCAAAAAGAAGTCCAGCATGGTTAACTCATGCTACATGTGTGCACACAAGCATGGCTAAAAATAGAGCATAAGAGTATAGCATGCATAGTAAAAGGACGGGATGCTCATTAATTGGAAAGAAAAGAAAACAGAATAGTGGTACCATTGTTACACAACCATTCACAAAATAAAATAACTTAAAAGTACCAGCCACAAAAAAAGGACCAAGGTAGGACATAAAACATTTAACTGGACACTAGGAAGGAAACTGTTTTAAGGAGAACTAGAAGGGGGAGGCAGGGATGAAGAGGCAAGGGCTCAGAGGAAAATATCCATTCGAGCATTTGTAGACACTTGCTCGTTAAGCAGCCACCCTTTCAGGTCCTCGACCTGTTTTCTGAGATCTGCATTTTCCTTGGTCAGACGGGCAACCTCTGTGCCTTGTGCACTGCTAGAATCAGGTGCCTCCTGGGCCTGACTAAGCTGCCCTTCAAGAATGGCATTTCGTGCTTCAGCCTCCTTATCTCCTCATTTCCAGCATTCTGATCATCAATCAATTGAGAGATAGTAGATTTACTGCCAACCCCTCCTTTCTTATCAATACACTCACATTCCTCCAATGCGGTCTTTGAGAAGGTCTGCTCGCGAGTTCCCATGGTTTCTTTTCCCAAAGGGACTTTGAAGAAGTTAAACACCTTAGTGAGCAAGAACCCGTAGGGCGACCCATGATTACTATCCTTAAAGTCTGCCACTTTTTTCATATGCTCAATCATGAGACCAGGCAGATTGATAATGGTGTAGGCATCCAATGCTTCCATGAGGAATAGGTCTGCTCTTGACGTATGGAATGCCTTTCTGCACGTGGAAGCAAGACCTTGTTCACCATCTCGAACATCAGTTGATACACTGGAAGGAGGGCCTTCTTGTGCACCCGTTCCCCTTGCTGCACAACATCATCCTTCATAATGGTACTTCTGAAATCGGGAGAACAGGTCCTCTCAATGGATGAGATCCCTCCAGTAGGCACTCCCAAAATGTTCCCCAACACAGCCTCGTCCATCACAAAATTTACTCTGTTGACCTTCAAATAGATGTTATCATCTTCCACCGTGAACATGTCTGGATAAAAGCTACGCACCTCTTCCTCATACACCTTGGGACTCTCATTAGTGAACAAGTGTTCCACTTTTGAAACTCTTAAATATTAACCAGTTGACGCATCCCTGCCATGTCAAGAATGTCAGGAGCAAATGTTCTGCTCCACAGTACCCTCTGTTTTCTAAGATCTTCTCTGCCTTCATCCTTGTACACACTCACTTTGGCCTTCTTGGAGGAACCAGGGTCCTCGTTGTCACCAACCTTCCTTTTCACAGACTTTCTCACACTTTTCTCTTTCTTTGCAGACTTCTCAGACAATTTCTCACAAACTTCTCAGACGA